AGCTAAGCATATCCATCTTTTAGAATAGATTCCAACCTGACCCACTTCACACAGCTCTTTCCCTCTTCACCTTTGCTATTTATGTCTCTGTCTGAGACACTTTCATTCTCATGCAAAAATCACCTGTTTCCAGATCTCTAACGAAAACTCTTATCTCTTGCTTACTTTTTGGCAGTATCCATCCTTAACCACTGATGTTAGGAGTTGAACTTTTACCAAAAAAAAAAATTGTCCTAATGGTGCAAATTATTTTTTAAATACACAATAAAGGATTTATATTCATAGAAAATATGTGCTGCTTTCAGCAAACAAGCTTATGTATGAAGTCCAAGCTTATGTATGAAGTCATCAGTTCTGTAAAAGGGAAAGGAGAAAAACAATTAGTTCAAAGAGAGCATTTTCCCCCTTCTTCTTGGTATGCAGTGCCATATACTTGAACAATTCACATTGACTCAATTCCGTGATCTAGTGTGGTATAATACACAAGCATGACCTGGAGCCAGGAGATGTTGGGTTTACTCCCACGGTCTATTATGCTAGCTGCGTGACCTCAGGACAAATTGCTTAAAACTGTAATCCAAGTTATTTGTCTGAAATTTAAAATGTTAAACTATATAATCTTAAAGATCTTTTTAACATAGCAGTTTTAGATCCCAAAAAGTACATAAGTACTTATCCTATGTTGGAGCCCTGGGTACTATGGGAGAAATATGATCCTTATTCTCAAGAAACATATTCCATGAAAATATGAGTTATTTTTAAGTAGTCAGATACAAGATGACATTTTTCTTTTTCCCTTTGTAGGGTGAACTTGGTTCAAGCCATTTTAGCCCCATTTATAACTAACTTTTCTTCATTTAGTCTGATTTTCCTCTTCCTAATCCCCAGAAAAAGACACATGGTAAAATCATGATCCAAGAAACTAAATCCTGTTATTCAACACATCAACATGGCTTATTATTTACTTACCACTTCTTTTTTCTTCCAGTGTTAACAAGCTTCAATTGATAGAGATTAAGCTATTTCAGAGCTTGGATTATGATGGACTAGGTAGAATGACTCTTCTACTACAATATGACTAGAATCTGGATAAATTTCAAATATAATTTTAACACATTGCTGACATACAAGAAATAAGTGATATCTCATGTACCAAAAACGAAAACTAGTAAATCTGGAATGACGCACAGCTTAAACAAATGAAAAGGCTAGGATTGCTTTGGGGGACAAATGTAAGTACCAGCACTGGGACTAGAAGATTTAACCTTGGGCTTTCTGCAAAGTGGACAGTGAGACTCTCTTATTAAACCAGGATCTTTGAAGGGGACCAGAGTGGTTTCAGATCAGCAGTACCCCCAGATCCACAAAGAAACAAATACAAATCCCCAGTTGAGTCTTTGTGATTTGCAAAGATTAAATACAATTGAATATAATAAGAAACTTTATGGCATACCATAAATGGAAGTCAGGAGAACACAATAACATCATATTTAAATTCCTGAGAATTTAGATATTGAAATTATCAGAGAGTTTAAAATAATTATGCATCAGAAGTTTTAAGAAATTAAAGATGGAATAAAAACTGAAAAAGATCAAAATAGAGATCTAATAAAAATACCAGGCATATTTGAAAAAAATCAATTAGAACATTTTTATAAATAAAGTGTATTATTGAAATTAATAATTCAGTGGATGAATTATACAGCAGAAAATATGCAGTTGAAGAGAGAATTAAATCTGAAGGAAGTGTTCAGACTATAATACATAGACACAATCCCTGGGAATCCCAGCTCCTTCCCCAGGGCAGTTGGAATGATCCCACCTGTAGGCATGTGAAGCTACTGAGCCCATAAAAACTGGCAACACCATGCCTAGTGGCTTTTTCTGCTCCCTCCTCTTTGGAGATGGCCTGCACTCTTGTCTATGGAATGTGTATCTACTTCTACTTTAATCTGAGCACCCAATTCCCACAGCTCTTTCCTTGCCTTTCTCTTGCCTTACACTCTATGCAGTATGTATCTCTATAAATAAATCTACCTTTACTCAACAATGGCTCGCACTTGAATTCTTTCCTGCGTGAAGCCAAGGACCCACATTTGTTGGGGCACGTACCAGGGGCTCAACCGAGACCTAAGACACGACCCTCCTCATGCCCCACATCCGTTTTCCTGCATCACAGCCACTGTGGAAAAAAGTTTGGTGGTTCTTCAAAAAGTTAAACATAGACTTACCATATGACCCACTAATTCCACTTCTAGGTATATAACCCCCAAAACTGAAAACAAGTATTCAAACAGATACTTGTACACAAATGTTCATAGCAGCACTATTCACAATAGCCAAAAGGTAAAAACAACCCAAATGTCCATCAATGGATGATGGATAAATAGATCTGGTATACTCACACAATGAAATATTATGCACCCACAAAAAAGGAATTAAGTACTGATACTTGCTGCAACATGACTGACTCTCAAACACATGCCAGGTGAAAGAGGTCAGACACAAAAGGTCACATATTATATGATTCCATTTGAAATATCCAAAGTAGTCAAATCCATAGAGACAGCAAATTACTGGCTGCCAGAGGCTGGGGAGAAGAAGGAATGGAGAGTCACTGCTTAATTGGTGTGGATTTTCCTTTTGGAGTAATGAAAATGTTCTGGAACCAGATAGTGGTGGTGGTTGCAGATTGTTGTGAATGCACTAAATACCGTAGAATGTACACTGGAAAATGGTTGAAACTGTGAATTTTATGTAAGTTTTACCATAATAAAAAAACGTTCACAGATATAAAGAAATTTAGCAAACGTGGATATATCCAGATATTACATATTATGGTAAATGATTATTTGTGTTATTCCAAACGTGAAGTAAAAGTAATACACAACAAACATGTGAGTTGAGAAAGGGGTGATCAGAGTTAAAGCATTTTAAAATCCTTGTGAGACCCTGAGAGCCACAGACCTTCAAATGACTTTGACTGTAATCCACAGTTAGGAAATGTTTATGTTGTCACCCAGTGTGCACACATATGTGTATGACTGAAACGAAAATTTCATAAAATAATACTTGCCCTGGGTGTTATATGCTGAAGTTTTCTAATCAATTGAATTCCAATTTTAAAATCCTGATTGTGTCCCATTAAGTTGGTTTCATGATCCACTAATGGACTGTAACCCACCACTTGAAAAAACTGGTGTAAAGAGCAGGTGGTGGCACCCAAATAAAGATGTGGGTTAAGAAGAGAAAATAAATAGAAGGGTCTCAAGCAGTTCAGTGTCCACTCTAATGCTGTGTCCACAAGCATCTCCAAGTGGTGAATTGGCAGGATTTTCCAAAATTTTTTGAGCTATCACCCTGTTCCATGGGGCAAAACATTTCTATTGGTGCACTGGAAACAGTATTCTCTGAATTGCCAAGATAAAATTTTCTTGAGTTATTCAGTATGGATGTAGCTAATGGTAAGCATTTCATATTCATGCACATTTCAGAATTGTGTACCCCAATTTGAAGAAATCAGAAGATCTGAGTGATGGTCTTACCCCTTGTTACCTTGGGCAACTCCCTTCATTTCTCCTGGTTTTGGTTCCCTTATCTGTAAAATTAAAGGGAACTTTACATTTTTCCTAAAAAATCTGTAATTCACTCTAACAAGGTTACAGAGACCCCTGATTTCACACACTTAAACACATGTACATACACAGATGCATTGCATCAAGATGAAGGAAATTTAATGTAGGCCCTTAGGAAACACCCACAGCATTGGCATTAATCTTTTCAAATATAAAGTGATGAGAATTGATGATTTATTGAACATATTTTTATTTTTATTTTAAAATAATTTTATTTTAAAATTTAGAAGATAATGTTTTAAATTAAAAATTTTAAATGTTTTAAATAAATTTTTTTAAAATTTAAAAAATTTAAATTAGTGGTTGATTGGCTGTAGTGTGGTTTAGTTACTGCAACTTCAGGAACATTACCAAGTTAAGAAGGGATTAAACTGGTCTGAGCTTGTACCAGTAAACATATCCATATTCCATGGTAGCTAAATGGCTCATGTTTAAATTCTTGTTCCAATTGCTGTAAGGTACCTCAGGGAACAGTCTTTGTACATGAGCTATAGATGTCTGTGTTTCCCAGCATAATTATTTGTTTATGTCAGCTAGTCATTGTAACCGACCATGCCTTGGGATGAAGTGTGACTAAGAGATTTGGTATCTTCAGTCCACCACTGTCTGGGAAGATTCCTAGGAAATGAAAGAGTGGAAAAGACACTCTCCACTCCAGCCATACTGAACTATTTTTAGTTTCCTGAAAACCTTTTGATGATATTTGCTTATTGTCTTTTTTTTTTAAACTCATTTTCTGTGGAAAATTTCAAACACAGATAAACAGAATAGTATAATAAACCACACTCACTCATCGCTCAGCTTCAGATATTCCTATTCTACCACTCTTGTTTCATCTATACCGTCCACTCCCCCTATGCCCTCCATTTGATTATCATTATGTTTACAGTTTTTAAGATAAGCTTTACATACATTGAAACACACAAGTCTAAGCTGAACAGTTTTGACAGAGGTACGCCTGGGTACCTACACCTTTCCATCTTATGAGAAAGAGTCCTCCTCCCTTCCCAGGTGGCCCCCCAGCCTCCCAGAAGCAGCCACGGATTTTTTTTTTCGCCTTAGATTAGCTTTGCTTATTCTAGAACATCATACAAACTGAAAAATATGCCTTTTATATCCCCTTTTGTGTCTCGCTTCTTTTCTCAGGATTATGTTTGTGAGATTCAGTCGTGCTGTTGCATGTATCAGTACACTAATTCATCCTTTTTTCTTGCCAGGTGGTAATATACCACAACCTGTTTACCTGTCCTCTCACTGATGGCCTTTTTGATTGTTTTCAGTTTAGGGCTGTTGTGAATAAAGCTGCTATGAAAATTCTTTGTACAAGTCACATGTTTTGTTAACATATATTTTCCCTTATCTTAGATAATTACCTGGGACTGCAGTTACTGGATCATAAGGTAAGTATGTGTTTAACTTTATAAGAAACCTCCACACTCTTTGCCCAAGTGGTTATACAGTTTTACACTCCCATCAGCAATATATGTGACTTCTAATTGCTCCACATTCTTATCAATATTTGATAGTGTCAGTCTTCAATTTTAGCTGTTCTATGAGTGTAAAGTAGTATCTCAATGTAGTATTAATTTGCATTTCCTTAGTAACTAAAGCTGTTGAGCACGTTTTAATGTGCTTATTACTTTGGCCTAATGTGTTTTCACATGCAGTTCCCTTGCCCAAAACACTTACTACCACCCTTGCCTAGTTAACTACTTACTCCCTATCTTGTTCTTTTCCACTATTGAAAGGAATCCTCCCTCCAGTGAAGCTGAGAGAGAAGGAAATCAGCCTAAAAGTTACATGAGAATGAGTTTTCTAGAATCAGCACCAACCAGTGTCTTTTTTTGAGTGCCCTGGAACGTTAGGGCAGGGGAAATTCTCTTTTCCTGCACCACCCGTCCCTCCATTTCCCAATTTAGCAACTACAAACAGCCCAAGTCTTAGTTACTCCTTGAACTTGATGTTAAGAGGTAAAAAAGCTTGTAAGACTGGGACTTAAGTGGAGACTGGGGCATACCATCATGTCTAAGAGGAGAGTACTATGTGGAAATTTTATTGAACAGTAAGCACCTCAGCTTCAATATTTCCCTTTGAAGGGATAATCCTGTGGCTTCCAAGCCTATAGAGAATTAGAATGACTAAAATTTACAGCAGGAGAAAGAAATATTATTTTCTTGGAATATAGACTCTAAGTTTCCATTAACTAGGAAGGCACAGCATTCTCTTGCTGCCTGTGCTCTGTAAATCTCCTCCCCTGACCTGTTTCCAATGTCTTCTAAGAAGATAAGGAGAAATTTTCTCAAGCCTCCCTTAACCTGACCTTCAGTGACTGCCTGGGGGTTGAGGAGAAGCATGCAAAGATCCTCTGTGGGAAGAAAATAGGGCTGCTGTCACAAAGATGAGTGATGCTTTCCGTATCTTGCCACCTTGGTTGCTAGCCTTCTGGTTTTCTCCTGTTAAGGAGGAAGCTCAGTAGTATGTTTGTAATCAGTTATGCCTCTGAAGTAGATGCTTTTGGCGCACCATTCCCCTTGGCACCAAACACTAAGATACACACTGATGGCTTTCTATCGCCAATGCCTGGATCCCTTAGCCTGAGAGTTGTCAATGGCCACAGGAGCATGCTGGGTGTCAGGCTGACTGGAAGTGCCAAGGAGTCAACATCTCTGGGAAGCAGCCCCCAAACTAATGACAGGTGGAAGTTAGTAGCCAAATTCTCTGTCTTTCTCATCCTTTAGGTGGGACAATTCTCAGGGATGCTCTACACCACCTCCCAGGGTTGCACGGTCGAAATGAGCCCCAGTTCCCCACGGCAGTAACAGCAGTAATGTACTCGGGAATGCATCCTCTCCTGGCTTCCTTCCCATCCCTGGCTCACTGTCCCACCCCCCCCCCAAGCCATCAGTGCGTCCTGAGATCGCCTTCCAAATAAACCAGCCTCAGTCCTAGTCCTAGTCTCAGGGTCTGTCCTGGAGAAACCTAGTCTAGGCTAGTTTAATATCAAGCAAACTCACTAACATTAGGAGGAACATATTGTTAACAAATCTTCTGATACTCTAAATGCTTCACTTCACATCCAGCAATCCTAAGACCTGGAATTCACTTCCTTTGAGCTTACCTGCTGTTATCCCTGAAGTATTATTGTTAGAGAATTCTTCTCAGGCAAAGATCAAGTTTAAGGAAGAACCACAAAACCAAGGAAGTGCATCTCACATATTCGAGATCAGATGGATAATCAGCTACTTGCTTTCTCAAAGCAAAGTGATATAATGTATAATATTATTTCCCAGCACATTAGGATACTTCTATGTATAATAAAAGATATTCTTAGTGTATTGTGTTGACGTTTTGGTTTTACTCACCTTTGCCCATTTTGGGGAGAAAAATGAAAAGCCAAGGGTAATTTTGCTGAAGAAAGAGAAGTGGCTGATGCTGGTGTACATATAGGCATGTACGTGTGTGTGGACCCAAGAGTCCTCAGCGTTCTTCGCCCTCCACACTCTCCTCCTCCAAAAATATTAACACAACAAAAATATTCTGGCAAGTTTGGGTTTATGGATATGCCATGGGTTGATAAGTTTGGTAAATAGCTCCGCTGGATATTTTTGTAGGTCAAGAATCAGAAGAGTATCACAAAATTGAAACAATGTCAGGGTCCCACAGCTCAAGATGCTAGAATTCTTCTAGTACCAAGATATATTTTGTTTTCCTTTCCATTAAAATATTTCTTCTTAAATCCCTATCCCAAATCCAGAGATTCAGCCCTGAAGCTTAGTTCCATAGCTCCCTCCAAATAACTGTCTTCCAGGTAACTTAATATTAATTTCATTGTTCTTTAAAAAAAAACCATGTAATTGCTATTTCATAAGGACAGAACCTTATTCTAGGTTCATGTTTAATTGAATTAAATATACTCTATGGTTTATATGTAGAAGAATAAGAGAAACCTAGTGCACAGATTTGTCTCATGATGCTTTTAGCGAAATCCTTGAGGTCAGCGTAGTGCAATGCAAAGACACCTACTGGTCCAGTAACAGATTCTCTAATTCTCCATCTTTTTGCTCATCAGTTCACAATGAAAGACTTTGTATACTTCCTGTAACCAATATCCTTGTAAAAATAATACCTTTTTCATCCTCCCCCCGCCCGTGCTTTCTTTCCTGAGGAAACTGGGGCAAGTGTTAATAAACATCTGTTCTGGTTATTCTTTGATTTTCCCCAGATCCGTTCTCTGCTCTCCTCTGCTATGATCTTTGTCTTGGGAGGCTCCTGTAAGGACTGTCATCCTCTGGCCAGTGGGAGGCACCAGCAGAAGACCAGATTGTGGGAGGAGAGAGATGCCAGGGTGTTTATTCCTTACCAGTCACTCTCTGCTTCACCGTGGTTCTATCAGTGGCCTCATCACCAAAACTACATCTATGTTGGGGCAGTCCCCCTGACTCTAGTTCTCAACCAGGCCCTGGCAATAGGGTTGTCTCCCCCTGCTGTTCAGGCTGGGGACTGCAACAGCTTCCTGCAGTCCCTGGTCTCCAGGGGTCTCAACATCCCTATATCCCTCACTGGCTCCTCTAACTCTGCGTATATTTCTATAAATAGTTCCTTTGTCAAAAAGCCTCTACACAACAAAGCTGAGTATGCTCTCTATTTCTTGCTGAGCCCCCAGCTAATAGAGCCTCCTACCTTCAAGTTTTTAGCAGTCCATGCCGCAGTGACAGACTTAGGGATCACAGTCATTTCTCTGAGCCTGGAATCAAATAAGTACCTGGGCACATAGAGGCGTCACATTTCTCTCAGGGCACTCCCAACACTCAGAGGAAAACATGATGTCAGAACTTTTTTTAAAAGGAAAATAGAAGTGTTTGTCTGAAGCACACTGTACCATTTGAACTAGACGCTCATAGGAAAATATATTTGTATATTTTACAGTCAAGAATGGGTATTTTCTGGGAACTGAAACAGAACTTGGGAAAATCTGGTCTTTTGTGGAGCTATTCATATGTATATCAGCTAGTTGTTGCTCCCAAAATTCTGTGTAACAAACCACCCCAAAACTCAGTACCTTAAAATCACAATCGTTTAATCTCACAAACCTGCAGGTCAGCTGCGTGGCCCTTCACCCTCCTTGGACAGGTGACCAGTCAAGACATGGCTCTTCTCATGGCGATGACAGAGGTGCAAGAGGCAAGCTCACTCAAACATATTTCAGGACCCTGTTTATGTCACATCTGCCAAAGCAAGTCACATGGCCAAGCCCAAGGTCAAGATGTGGGAGAAAGATATTTCCTTCATGGAGGTGAAAGGGAGAAGGTGGAAGTACCTTTGACAATAATCTACCACAGTGTAGTTTTGTAAACTACAAAAAAGTCATTCAAAGGCAGGCTGCTGCTTATTCAATTAAAGAGAGAAGAATTTTTTGTTTCCATTTTCCTCTCATTCATCACAAGTGAACTAAAGTGACTTTTACAAATATCAGGCTAAATTTCTTGTCATCTAGAAAGTTTCTTAATAAAGAGATGATATTTCTCTAGAAATAGAGGCATTTTGAGGTTTCAGACATCAGGCAAATGTTATTGTTATAGAAAGTCTAATATCCGTTCATGACTAAACTGAGATTGCCAGACTTGGGACCTGAATCTAGCCTTGTTCACTTTGGGTTTTTTTTTTTCTTCCTGTGAGGGTCAGATCCCAAAGGAATTACTCTCATTCTGAATTCTGGGGTGAGAATCTACACATACCACTGAAGATGCCTGTTACTGATTCCACAATCTTGATATCCAAAGAGTAGTCAAAGGGTCCAAAGGAATGCTTCCTTATCTGCAGAGACTTTCCTTAATTAGTGACTGATTTGAACTTTAACTGAGGTTTAGTCGGTTTGGAAGGGGTTGAGTTGAAGATTCCAGTAGCTCTCACCAGTTTAGTATCCACCCATTCTTTCTTAGCCCAGAGAGTTGGGGGAAAGTGCTTCCCTTGTACAGAATTTAAGGAGGAGCAAAAAGTCCTTAGTTGTCTTGGTCATCTTTGGGAAGGAAAGAATTGCTTAAAATGGTGAACCCAGCAAAGAAAACAGCTAGAAGGTCAGCAAGAAATGTCCATTATGCTCCCTGCACAGTATGTAAACCCAATAAGTGTTCATAAATGATGGATTGATTTCAAAAGAAACATTAGCTTGGGATTCTAACTGTTTAGTAACAGCATAGAAATTCAGAGAAGAGATACCAGTATGATTTGCAGTCATGACAAACCGCACAGATTAGATGATACTGGACAGGACTTGAAGAATAAATTGGCTTGACTAGATAAAGAAAAAGGGAAATGCACTGGGAGACAGTGTGAGTAAAGTTTGGAGATATGAATGAGCATGATATATGGGGTAGTATGTAGGGGTAACGAGAAGACCATCTTGACCAAAAGGGGGAAGTGATCACAAATTAGGTGGGATGGAGATTGTAGTGCCAGATTATGAGGGTCTCAGTAGGTGAAGGAATTTAGGTGTTATGTGGTGGATGTTAGAAGCTGTTGGAGTTTCTTGGTGGGGAGATTATTTACTGAAAACATCTCTGGTTATCACAACTGGCTGGTTTTCCTTATGACTTAGGCAGCTTTTGACTTGAGAGTAATGATTGTGGTGAATGAAAGAGGAGATGATTCATGTGTATTTTGACTTCTTTACAAATTTGTTTTTAGCCTGAATCATAGGAAGAGTCTGTAGCCTTTTCCCATGGTGTTGTTGGCAGCAGCTGCATGTTCCCATGGGAACACACATACTTACTCACCCAAACCTGCCTCTCATATTTATGCCCTCAGTTTCTGTTTACTTGGATGTTTTCATCTTTTCTATAGCACATACTCACATACAAGCTTAGAGCACAGTCTGTTTTTCTCTTATGACTAAGGGTTCATTCTCAATATTTTCAAATACATAAAACTCCCAACCAAATGTGATGGAAGGAGGCATTTGGATAGACCATGAAGTGATAACATCACATTGAACACCATCCACTGTAAACATTCTAGCTTTCTAAAGTGACCAGATGCAGGGAGGATGGCTCAAGGTGCTTCTTCAGTGGCTAATTCCGGAAAGCCTTGGCTAAATTCTAATCCAAAATAGGAAGGACCTCCCTCCCTCCCTCCCTCATGTTCAGAAGCTTGGCAGTCCTGGGGGTGACATTGCCCATTTCATCTCACGGAAGGAAGTTCTCCTCTGATCATAACAGCAAATCAGCAAATATTAACTGAACTCTTTACTCGTAGAAGACACACTTTCTATGTTACTTTGTTCCTTTGCCAGATTCCAGTGACTTGAAATCCAAAGCAGATGAAGTTAAATAAGAGCAGTGGTATGTTTTTGAGAAACTCTGAGTTTGGTTACTGTAGATTTTCTAAGACACCGCTTTCCTTAGTTTATACGAGAAGTATTTATTGAGCTAGCTTCTAGACTAAGTGCTGGTGATTCAGACATGAATAACACTTCCTCTGGAGTGTCTCAGGTAAGACAAATACATGAAACAAATGAGCTGTAATAAAATGTAGTAAGTCCTTTAAGAGAAGTGTACAAGTTCTGTGGGAAAGTTGAAGAGAACCATCCCGCGGTTCCAGGGCGGCCTTCACAGAGCAGAAGGCATCTGGGCATGTCTTAGAGGATGAGCAGGGGCTCCCTAAGTGGGGTAAGAGCTCTTAAGGCAGAGAGCAGAATGCATGAAAGCACTGGTACATCAGAGTGCAGGCTGGCTGGGACTTCTTTTCATCCCAGCTGACACAAGTCATGAATCCAGGGAGAGACCAGTGTGTGGGAGGCAGCCCTCCTCAAGTGTGGTCTTCTCAGCTCAGACCTGCTGCAAGCAGACATTTCAGGACTGCAGAATCAGGCTGATTCAGTCATAAGGGTAGGACTTCCTGGGGAGCAAAGTGTTTGCAAACACCTTCATGGAAATGAGACCATGGACTCAAAATAACGGCAGGTTTTCCAGACCATCAGGAAACATGATTTCTGGGGGAGGAGCCGTATTCTTCTAGAGGGAGCTCAAGGGAAACACCCCAAGGTTTCAGGAACTTCTCGTGGTCCCAGGCTCCTTCCAGAGTCCCAAGAATGGGCCCTCGTGGTTTTCCTCACCACGCACACTTCACTTTATTAAAATATGAATTCACCCCCTAAGTTGGTTTCCTAGGACTAACATAATGAATTACCACAAACGTGGCTTGAAACAACAGAAATTTATTCTCCAGCAGGCCAGTAGGCCAGAAGTCTGAAATCAAGTCAGTAAGGTTGGTTTCTTCCTGCTGTGGCTGCCCACCTGTCTCCCTTCAAGGCTCATCTCTACACACAGAAGGCTGCTTGATGGGGAGGGGGGCTTCTTCTGATTCTCTGCCTTGGGTGGAGCTTTTTATTGGCCCGGGGAGGAAGGAGCTCTCCAGTAAAGAAGCTGGAAGTGCTGGAGAGTAACATCCCAGAGCGGTCTTCAACCAAAGATAGATGGCAGTTTGGTGGATAACTAACCTAGCTCTCTGATCCCTCAGTTAGGATGCCTCTGAAGTTTATTCTGCACTCTCTCCCAGAATTCCAAAATGCAACAATGTTCAGTTGCCGACAGGGATAACTTATTCCATAATATACCTTTTATTGACTTTCTTCCTTTTCCCATCTCCCTTCTCTACTGGTAATTCTTGAACTCTCCTCCCAAGTAAATTACTTGCACTCAAACTATTGTCAGGGTCTGCTTCGAGGGGAATCCAAACTAAGACAAATACTATTTATATGCCAGTAACTCCCAGATTTATATCTCCAGTCCAAACACCTCGCAAATTCCAGAATCATTTATTCCACAGCTCTCCCCAGCAGCTCTGCATGGATGTCTAATATCCATTTCAAACTTAATGTGTCCATAAGCGAAATCCTGCTTTCCCCTTCAAACCTGCACTTCTCAAGCTGAAGTCGTTTTGACTCCACTCTTTCTTTCACGTGCACGGATAGCCCTACAACAAAATCTGTTGGCTCCATCTTCAACTATGTTCAACTCTTACCTCTTCTTATCTACCTATTGGGCCCTCACCCAAGCTGCATTGCCTAGATTGTTGAGATAATTTTCAAACTGTTTTCCCTCTGGGTCTCTTGCTGCATTAAAATTTCTTTTCTTCATAGCAGCCACAAGGATCCTTTTAAACCATAGTCATATCATGTCACTCCTCTGCTCAGAACTGGCCGATGACTTCATCTCAGAGCAAAAGCTAAAGTCCGTTGTATGGCATATAAAGCCCGATACCATCTGCTGCCTGTCTTCCCCTCTAATCTTATTTCCTACCACTCTCCTGCTCTTTTTGTTGTAGGACATTGGTTCTATATGCTCCCAAGCATGATACTTCCTAGAGCCTTTGCACTTTCCCCCTGCAACCTGGAACATTCTTATTCCAAATATCTACATGCTTTGCTTCTTTATTTATTTAAAGTCTCCACTGAGATGTCACCTTATTTAGAAGGGTCTTCTGTGTGGGATATGAGGTGCATGCTCTCTGATCATTCCCTTGCCTGACTCTGCTTTCTTCTGCATGCTGCTTTCCTCAGATGCCTGTGTCAGCTGGCTCCTGGTTGGATTCAGTCAACGGGAATTCCATGAGATTGGAGAGTTGGAGGAGGGAAAAGGGAGGAAAGGATGTTTTCTCCTGTCTCAGGCTGCACCTCCAGGCAGCAGCAGATCTAGTTCCCTTTGAACTAGCTTCTAGTTTCTTCCAGGTCACTGCAGCCTCCTGGATATGATAACACAGTATTTTTCCTTTGTCCCTCCAGCATAGGAATGGTGGTGGCTGCCAGGTGTTGCTGATCTCTGGGTTCCTTTGCTGCCACTTATTTGGCCTCTCAGGTCTTCCAATATCAATGTAACCAATTCTCTCCATTAAATTCCTCTCTGAAAATACTCAGCCCTATTTTGGTTTTATTCACTGGGTCCTGACTGACAACTTGTATCAGTTTCAGTCCTAAAAGGAAATTTGTAATCTGAGGAGAGTTTAACAAAAGGACTATTTACATAGGTATTAGTTCAGTTTTGGAAAAACAAGGGTTTGTGCACTAACTTTTGGCCAATAACAGGATCCAATACATAGAAAACCCCAGAGAAATCACACACACACACACACACACACACACACACACACACACACAAAACCTTTACTAGATCCAATAAATGAAGCAAAGTTGCAAGGTATAAAATCAACACTCAAAAATTAGTTGTGTTTCTATACACCAGCAATAAATAAACTCAAGAAAACAGTTTCATTTACTATAGCATCCTAAATAAATAAATAAAGTACGTAGGAACAAATTTAACCAGGGAAGTTAAAGACTTGCACACCAAAAACTACAAAACGTTGAAAAAAATGAAAGAATATCTAAATAAATGGAAAGACATGTCCTGTGTTCACTAATAGATGACTCAATGTTGTTAAGATGGCAAAATTACCCAAAGCCATCTCTATCAAAATTTCAATGACCATTTTTGCAAAAATGTAAAATCCAATTCTCAAATTTATATGAAAATTAAAAGGCCCAAAATAGCCAAAGTAATATTGGAAGAGAACAATAAAGTTGGAGAATTCACATTTCCCAATTTCAAGACTTACTACAAAGCTACAGTAATCAAAACAGTGTGTTATTGTTACCAAGTCCAAACTCTTTCTGCTTGCTGCAGGACAGACCAGAAAATCAGGAGACAAGGTGTTGGGGCAAGGAATAACAACTATTCAGACAGCCGGCAGACCAAGAAGGTGGAAGACTGATGTCCTGGAGAGCCATCTCCCCCAGGTCAGAATTCAGGTTCTTTTTATACTAAAAGGGGAGGAGGTGTGGATAGTTGTTGCAAACTTCTTGGTGTCGGAATCCTAGGTCAGGTCACAATGTTCCTGTAAGCCTCCAACAAGACAAATGTTATTCTCTGCTCTGTAACTTTTTTCTCTATATAAATGGAAAAGTGTTAATACCCTTAAAGGCCAGAGCCTTGAGAATGGGCTATCTTGTATATTTCAGGTTATAGGTAACATTCTTTTACCAAAGGTGCAGAACCACTATGACTAAGTGCAGGAAACAGAGCAGTGTCAGAGCCAAAGGAACGGATCGAATATGGAGTCAGATTTGTTCTTCTCTACTACATTACTGGCATAAATACAGACATAGGGACCAATGGAACAGAATTAAGGGTCCTTAATAAAACCCATACATGTATGGCCAATTAATTTTGGACAAAGGTTACCAAGGTCATTCAGTGGGGAAGGAATAATCACTTCAACAAATGGTAGTGGAGCAATTTGATATCCACATGCAAAAGACTGAAGTGCGACCTCACAATATATACAAAAAATTAACTCAAAATGGATGAACAATCTAAGCATAAAGTTAAATCCATAAAACTATTAACAAGAAAACATGGATACAAATCTTCATGACCTTAGGTTTGACTATGGATTTTGGGTATGACACCAAAAGAATAAGCAATAAAAGAAAAAGTAGATAAATTGGACCTCATCAAATTTAAAAACCTTTGTGCATCGAAGGACATTATTGAGAAAGTGAAAGACAACCTCCAGACTGGGATAATTTATTTTGCAATCGTATAAATGATAACAGTCTAATATCCAGAATATACAAAGAACTTTTACAACTCAACAAAAAGACAATCCAATTTAAAAATAGGCAAAGGACTTGAATAGACATTTCTCCAGAGAAGTTATACAAATGGACAACTAGCAAATGAAAAGATGGTAAATATCATTAGTCATTAGGGAAATACAAATCAAAACTGCAATGAGATACCACTAGGAGGGCTATAATTTAAAAATGTAAAATAGTGTTGGCAAGGATGTGGAGAAATTGGAACCCTCTTACAGTGCTGTTGGGAATTTTAAATGGTGTAGCCACTGTAGAAAATGGTTTGGTGTTTCCTCAAAAAATTAAACATAGAATTACCACATGAACCAGCAATTCCACTGCTCGGTATATACCCAAAAGAATTGAAAACAAGTACTCAAATACATGTGCGTGCATGTTCATAGCAGCACTGTTCACAATTACCAAAAGGTGGAAGAACTCAAATTCCATTAGTGAATGATAAATTGTGGATGAACAAGTCGTGGTATAATGGAATATTATTCAGCCATAAAAAGAATGAAGTTGATACAAGTTATGACATGAATTGTACCTCAAAAACATTATGCTCAGTGAAAGAAGCCAGGCACAACAGGTCACCTATTATATGATTCCATTTATATGACATACTTGGGGTGGGTACATCCACAGAGACAGGAAGCAGATTGGTGGTTGCCAGGGCCTGGGAGAAATGGGTGGGTGGGGAGTAACTGTTTAACGGTTATGGAGTTTTCTTCTGGGATCATGAAAACGTTTTGAAACCAGATAGAGGTGATGATTGCATCATGAATGTACTAAAATGACACTGAATTATTCACTTTAAAATGGTGAATTTTATGTTATGTGAATTTTACCTCAATCTAAAAAAGCCAGGTATAAAATGCTTAGGAACTTAAGCTACTCTGGTTTTATATGGATTTTTTGGGGGGGGAGTAGAAAAGAAAAGTAATAAAAAGCGTTAAATTATGTATTTATTATTTAGTGCTAATTACAGTATTAAAATGATTTGGAAGAAGAAAGTATATGTTTGTTAATATAAGATACATATGTGAATGCTGGACTATAAGAAGAAATCATGTGTTCTGGAGATATATTCTCCTAAAAAAATTTTGAGTCTAAAATACTGGCAAGTGAACAGTGTCTCTAACGCTGGTGAGTTACGTGGCTCATGGGTTATTTTTGTCAAGAAAACTATAGCATATATGTTTGCTACGGTGTCCTGTTGCTATATTCTGCTACTAGAGGGGTTACCTTGATTTGACATGTTGGGCCTTGGTCTGATATCTGTATACCAATGCACTGCATTTCTTTTGTCACTTACTTAACAAGAATTTTTATGTTGTGATGACTAGAATGGAGAAAATTAATCTAACCAGATGGAATTTAACAAACATGAGAAGTTCTTTACTCAGATCTAGAAAAACAAACAACTGTCCAAGATCTGGGTGGAGGAGACATGGTTTAACAGTATCACATGGAAGGGAGCAAAAAAAAATGCTCAGGGGTTTCTGTTTGCTGGAAGCTAAACATGAGTCAACAGCAAGTTGTGGCTTCTTAACAAAACAGAGCAAAACAAAACCCTAAAGAAATCTTAGCTTGGAAAAACAGAATTGTGGTATCTAGGTGAAGAAACCCTTTGTCTCTCCTTCACTCATCAGCCTATACTGGGGGGACTGAGTTCTGCTCCAGGTGTTACATAACAGAGGGGGCAGCATCAAGCCTCAGGGGTCCGGAGGGAGGGGATGGACAGGGGCAAGGCTGAAACCATCCACGTGAGGAATGTCTGCAGGAACGGGGAATATAGTGGGGGGTATAATATATCATTAACTATCTGTGCTGGGCAGGCAGGTTCAGGGAGGGAGTTTGTAAGAGATAAATTACTTACTCTGTGCCACTCCCTTCTATAGAAAAAGGAACTTAATATCGAGTGTCTACTCTGTGCCAGGAAGTGCTACCCACATTACCTTGTGTTGTTACGTTACTTGCCTACAGCAGCTCTCGGAGACGGTTCTTGATGTGTTTCTAACACCTTAGCAGCGTTCTAATAACTCTCTTCCATCTGAGGATCAAGCCAGGAAAAAGTGTATGTGTATTAATGCAAACACAGTGTTTTGATACTGGGCTCCAGTATTCCACTTGAAGGTTAAGCAGTCAGCTTCAGAAAAAGGCCCTTTCCTCCCCGGATCTGACGCAGTGGTGTACCATTCACTTCACACACGCAGTGTTGTCTGTCCTCTTTGCGGGGACATGGTTGTAGGCCAAGTAGGAAACACTGCTGGGAAAACTGGGCTCCCTGGTGTCAGGGGGGATGATAGGATTCTGGAGTAGCAGCAAGTTGACAGCATATAATTGTCAGAGCGAAGGTAGGATTGGTAGAATTAATTTGCTGCGTGAATTGCCAAATAAGCCTATCGGAAGACAAGTTGATGCAGTTATCCTAACGGAAAACAAGGCCAGAACAACAGCCAGGGCGCCTTGGCCCACAGGAATCCGGGCCAAAGACTAATAAACCGTGGTATCCTAGGAGCAAGATATAAGGGCAGGCAATTGCTTGGTTTATATATCCAAAAAGATCTTGAGTTGGTCAGCATCACAAAGGGTAATCACGGTCTCTAGTCTAGTTTCAAGAGTTGAGGTGATTTTCAGACTCAGAATCCACTGACCTAAAGGCCACATCCCCTTGAAGAAAGTCCCTGAAACACCATAGTGAGTAGTCATCATAGCTATTAACAGTCCTCCCTCAAAAGGAGCTACAGACGTTTACCAAGTTACCTACCCACTGTGGAAAGTGAATATTCAGGTATTTTGAAGGCTGTGGATAAGCTGACATGGATACCAAACAACCCAAAAATAGCATCGGCCTCCTTATTAGAGTGGGGACATTTAGAGGCCAGCTGATAAACAGAGACCAGCCCCCCAAGTCAGGGGGCTGTGGAGTATTTAGCAGCTGGAAGAACCCTCACATTGGTTCTCTGTGTAGTATTCACTTATGGTAGGAAAGGCTAAGTAAGTAGAAACCCCTAAATGTTCTCCTTGATCCTATCCCTGGGATATATAGCTAATTTTTTTCTTACCCTCATCATGAACTCAAGACCCCTCAAATACTCACATCCAAGTGTTCAGCTCTGTCTTGGTTTCCCTTGCCTCTTTCCTAGCTTGGATACCATGGACATCTGAGTGACCAAGGACCACTAGGTGGCAGCAGAATCTCAACTGACTGTCCACCAACTTGGGCACCAAGTCAGATAGGATACGTGTTATCTATAATGGGAGCCTCAAGTTTGAAGGGGCAGTGGAAGTAAACAAAGGATAGAGCATACAGGGAGATCAGCCAGCAGGGGACGAGAAGACCTTGAGTCTCGTAAATGTAAACCAGGGAAGTGCCTAGACCTCAGCAGTGGGGAAGATAGCAGGTTCCCCCAGGTTCGCTGTCTGTACTGCTTCATACCTGTGCATGTGGGGAGTCTCCTCCTGCTCTGAAACATCCCTGCGCAAATGCTCTGAAGCTCTTTCTAGTTAAAGGTTCGTTACTTAATGCCAACAAGCCTCCTGGAATCCTTTGTTCTTAACTACCTTGCTAATCCCCAGTTCTAGATGGAATCAACCATCTTGTCTGTCTCCTTCTGGGCAGCCAGATGCTCCTGCAGACAGTTACAAAAGTCTACACATTGGATCAACTCTAAATCCACGAAATGTAACCTCAGTGAGTCCTTGAATGTCTCAGAGCTGAGACTGTGAAAGTTGTGATGTGCACAAGTTCAACCTGCACATCACGTCCACGGGAGCCGAATGGAGGTTATGGGGTGGGCCATATGGCTAAGGGCTCTGTGGGAACAAGGACATCTTGAATGACTGCACAGTGGGATGATCATACCTAAGGACCAGAGATATGAGTCACATCTCAGGGGAAGTCAATGTGCAGACAGTGACCCATACCAGGTACCATTCCCACACACAGAATTTTCAAGTCTCCCCTCAAACCTGCTCTTACCTACCGAGAAGGAATCCTGAACGTATTAGATTTTAATCCTGAAATACATGGAAGGAAAAGTGAGGAAGTAAAAGGAAAAGCCAGTGTAAGCTGGGAGTGTGACAGAAAATTTTCAGAAATGGGTTATCATCAGTCAGAAGCAGTTGCAGGCAGCCCTCCCCCCACCATGGCA